CTTGTTGGGGAGACACAGCTCAACCAACTTCAAAAGTAACAGAACTGCCTCTCATAAGGCATCTCCACGGAGAATGTTCCTAAGGAAACATCAGCAAGAACATTTTAAAGATCCCTCCTGGAGACAGCTTTTCTTTTCTGTATTCTTCCCCAAAACAATTCTGGCAACAAGTTTGGTCAATGCTTCCTCGCAAATAACAATAGGAAAGTAAATGTGTTTGTCGCTGAGTCATGTCCCACTCTTTGCAACCCTGTGGACTGTAGCCCGCCAGGCTCCTCTATCCACGGAATTCTCCAGGCAAGAATACTAGAGTGAGTTGCCATTCCCTTCTCCAAGACATCTTCCCCACTCAGGGACTGAACCTGGTCTCCCTCGTCGCGGGCGGATTTCTGACCGTCTGAGCCAGCAGAGAAGCCCTATATAACAATACGATGGAGGGTTTCTCTCTGCGCCTTTCAGGCACGGCTTTAAACACAGGCTCTACACGCATCATCTCATTTAAGTCTCACAGACAAAAGCCACAGAGACACTACGTTTATGAGAACAGAGGCTCTGAAAACTGTCAGCCCGACAGGCAACAGGCAGGACCCAGGACTTCAAATCCCCTGGACATAGATGAAACCTGCCTCGGTTTGCCCCATCACCTTCCCACGGTAGTTCATCATTACCACCCTCTGGGCCACGGCAGGAGCCTCACCCTCCCTGTGAGCTATCCTACCAGCTGCAGCCGGATTCTCTTCCCAAAACCCAAGTCCACTTTGAGGCTGGTTCACAGCACTCAGCAAGTGCACCACAGAAGGCGTGGCTTTCAACAACACTTGCCAAATGAATGCAACCTTTGCTTATGCTGCCTTAGCTTCCTGCCCCCTGCAAAGCTCCCCAGGCTGCCAGTCAGGGTCCTCTAGCTCCAGCTCCCCAGCCTTGGCCAACTTACCCATGAATGCACACCTCCTGGGTCCACCATGAACTGCTGCCTCCTCCACTCTCTGGACACGCTGTTTTCTCTGCCTGGCATGCTCTTTCCCCATCTCCCCAGCCCCCCAGCCCCCACATACACATTCTGCCATCAACACCCTTTCTAGGTTAATAAACGGACTAACAATTCCTCCCTAATGTAAGTCATCACTCACTTCTTAGTGAGCCAAGCCCAGGACACTGCATCTCTCCTGCAGCTTCAGATCAGGGCAGAGCTTATGAAACACCCAGACCAAGTCCTAGAGCACGCTCTGCCGAGCTGTGTGCCCACGTGTCTTCCTGGTCTAACCTAAGCTGATCTCTTCTTCAGTGCAGGGACAGGCCTGTGACTCAAGCCCTAGCGGAACAGGGACTCTCTATCATGTATTTACCAGGATACAGCCCGTGCTTCTCTTTGCTGTTGTTCAGTCGCTCAGTCGTGTCCGACTCTTTGCGACCCCGTGGACTGCAGCACGCCGAGTTTTCCTGTCCTTCACCATCTTCCGGAGCTTGCTCAAACTCATGTCCATCAAGTCAGTGATGCCATCCAACCATCTCCTCCTCTGTCGTCCCCTTCTCCTCCTGCCTTCAGTCTTTCCCAGCATCAGGTTCTTTTCCAATGAGTTGGTTCTTCCCATCAGGTGGCCAAAGTATTGGAGCTTCAGCTTCAGCATCAGTCCTTCCAGTGAATATTCAGGGTTGATTTTCTTTAGGATGGACTGATTTGAATTCCTTGCAATTCAAAGGACTCTCAAAAGTCTTCTCCAGCACCCCAGTTTGAAAGCATCAATTCCTTGGTGCTCAGCCTTCTTTATGATCCAAATCTCACATCCATACATGACTACCGGGAAAACCATAGCCTTGAGTATATGGACTTTTGTCAGCAAAATAATGTGCTTCTCTTTAGAGAGTTCCAAGTGCAAAATCAGGTATTCCATTTTGGTTGGACACAGGATGCAAACGTGGAAAACTCTCCAGGTTCTATGGCATGAGACGAGGGAGCCAGTTCCAGGGCCTGCCCTTCCTCATCTGCCCTGGCACTGGGATTGTGCCCCCAAAACACTTCTACTCCCTCACATGAAAGAACAGACCTGTGGGATATGATCCTCTGTGAAGATGTTACTCCACAGAGGACTCATCCTGAAGTTATCTGTTTTGATTAATGTATAAAGTTAGTTAATACATAAAAATCCACCTCTCTCTCTCTCTCTCTCCATCTTAAATTATGAAGACGTCAGCCTTTGTTCTGGGGCTCATGAAATGCACTGGCCCCAAAGACCACTGCAACACTATTCACATCAGACAAGACAGGAAAGCAAGCTAAGGGTTTATCAAAAGATGAATGGACACCGAGGATGTGGTGCATATATACAACGGAGGATTACTCAGCCATAAAAAAGGATGGACTAATGCCACTTGCCGAGACATGGATGGACCTGGAGATGATAACACTAAGCGAAATGAGACAGAGCCAGACAAATATCACAGGATATCATTTACACGTGGAGTCTAAAACCAAAAAACACAGATTAACTTCTTTATAAAACAGGAATAGACCCACAGACCCAGAAAACAAACTTACGGTTACCAAGGGGAAGGGGAGGGGATGGATAAATTGGGAGGATGGGACTGACATAGTCACACTACTGTATATCAAACAGATAACCAGCAGAGACCTACTTATAGCACAGGGAACTACGGCAAAGAATCTGAAAAGAATACATATATAAATATATGTACACACACACACACACACACACAACTGAACCAATGTGATGAACGCCTGAAGCTAACACACACTGTAAATCGACGATACTTCAATTATTTTTTAAAAAGTAATGTGAAAAGGCGGGTAAACCCCAGAAAACCATGATTGTGCCCTAGTGTCCTTTATACTGCAAAGCACGTAATGAGCACTTTGAAGCTACTATGAAAGTCAGTAACTGAGTGGAAGAGCGCAAGTAAGGAAGTGGTGGAAGAAAGCCGACACTTGGAAGCTTCAGCCGCTAAGTTCAGTGTTATATTCTCCAAGCAGCCTGGCAAGCTTTTTGAAAGGGGCAGTGTTGGTCTGCTCTGGTCTACTTCTGGGAATTTCTTTCTCCAAAGTAGCAAGTGTTGATGAAGGTCAAAGGACAAGGAAGGCTAACACCCTAGGATTACACTGGGATTTAAATTCCACACTAATCATGTTGTTGGAGATAAAAAAAAAAAAAAACCTAGAAGGCACTGGAAGTAAGACACCTTTTAACCTGATCATTCGAATGAAGACCTTTAAAAATACTGTTTTCCCTGGTGAAACTAGTGTGAGGAAGTCTTCCTATGAAACCCAGAGGGAAAAAAATAAACAGGTGGAAAGAGATTACAGGATTAACTGATTACATGATCTGCCTTAGAATGACACAAGGAGGCTTCAGTCTTTTTAAAGAAGTCATTGCAGATTCATATCAAACAACTGAATTCTCAGTTTTCTACATAAACAAGAAGCCCAGACTAAAATCACTAGTCGGCATCTGTGCTTGCTTGCATCTGTGCTCAGTCATGTCTGACTCTCTGTGACCCCCCTGGACTGCAGCCCACCAGGCTCCTCTGTTCATGGGAGAATGCAAGGATACTGGAGTGGGTTGCTATTTCCTTCTCCTGGGGATCTTCTCAACCCAGGAATCGAACCCGGGCCTCCTGCCTTTCAGATGCATTCTTAACCACTGAGCCACCAGGTATTTACTGGTCAAAAAGTTTGTTCGGGTTTTTGCATAAGATGTTACAGAAAAACTCCAACAAACTTTTTTGGTCAACCGTGTATTTATTCAATTATATTTACATCAAGTCTGAAGATAAATGAAGAGATATCTACTGAGAAGCGTGAACTTGTTTCCGTATGAATAAATAAACTCAGTGTGTCCTCTGCTTCTGTCCTTTGGACTTCCAGATTGAGTCTTTGAGGCAGTGACGTAAGCAGTGAGCAGTGCTTGCCCAGGACTCCCTTCTACGACAGAAGGGCTCCGAGTGATTTACTTCACTGAATCGAAATTTGAACTAACAAAAATTTGAGAACTACACTTCAGACTGTTTCAACTGCTTAATTTGAGATAAATACATGTAAAAAGCTCTATGTAAATGTATAGTAAAATCTATAAACTGCCCATAATATAAACAGGTGCTGAGGTTCTCTAAATACATTCTCCTCCTCTCTCTCTCACAAATAATCTTCTTATGAGCAACGGCTGACCATCTTAGGAAGACGATCAAGACCACCACAAATTTTATAACACTTAATAATCAATGACAGTATGCAAATCTTCATAGTTAGAAGAACAAGCCTAAGCTAGATCTAACATTAAACCAATAAAAATTTAGACTGCCAAACCCTAATAGCAGACACTTCCCATAGACCACTTACATTTTCATAATCCCGTTCCTGAAAACACATACCCCGAAGACTTCCCAGGACAGATTAGCCCCAGTGCTAAGGCCAGACAGTGGCACATGCACAGAGCAACTGCTCGATGCCAGCAAAGTTCCCTCCTGTCCTCAGACTCAGACTCATAGAACGGAAGCAAAAAGTTACCCAGGTAACAGGTTTGTTTCACCTGACCTAGCCTGAAGCAGTGTCAAAACCACGTATCGTAGTGGGTGGAGGAGAGTTAAACTTCTAACGTTCAATGTCCACGAGCGGTCATTATTGACTTCTCATTTGATGGCAGGGAATTCACATTTTTAGCCTACCTTTTACCTTTGGTAGGAATTTGAGGATAATTCAGTTCTCTAACCAACACAAACAAAGAAGGAGGGGATGGAGGATAAAGAATTGGAAGAACAACATGGCAACACAGTTCAGTTTCATTTTCTTATCATCACGTTCCTGACTATTTCATTTGATTTTCTTAACTTCCATCTAAACGCTTTCTGTTCCTGTGGCAATCATCACTCAGAATCTCACACTTGACCACACAGAATATCCTCCTCTTATCATTAACAACACTAATGCATGTGTGCCCAGGAGCGGTGTTTGAAGACAAATTCTATCTTTTTCCACCCGCAGGACTTACCCTCGGGGAAAGCACTGGGCTGCACAATGTGAACAAACAGGCGCATGATGTGAAAGAAGAAGCCAGCAGGACCGGGATCATAAGAGTCGCTGGTCTGATAGGAGGTTGAAGGCAACTGGAATTCCAAATCAGCAGGACGGTACCCGGATGACGACGGCTCCTCTGACACGGTGTCCTCACAGAGGCCCAGCAGCAGGAGGAAGCTGAGGAGGAGGACCATGGCTAGTAAGATGCCCTGAACATGAGGTGGTACTGGGGGCCGCCCACGTCAGGGGTTCTGGAAGCCTTAGGGACAGCAGGAGCGCGTTCCCGTGCAGAAGAAGCGTCCTGAGGTTGAGTCTGCGGTGTCCTCAGTTTCCTGGCTGGGCTGGCATGCAGCGAAGGGCAGCAGAGAACCTTCTCTGGCAGGCAGGGGAGGGGGACTCAGTCCATCAAAGCAGCATCCCTGGCAGGGAGAGAAGAGACGGGTGGTCACTAATGCCTGCAGCCTGCCCGCACCCGCAGCCCGCCTGCTAGAGAGGCTGCCAGGCTTTAGAGCAAGCGCTCAGCCTAATCCGCTGCTGGGGAAGAAACACAGAACCTGCTCCAAGCGTGGGGGCAGGAAAGCTAGAAGGTCCCCGGCCAAGAGCCAGACCCAGGAACACCAGGCAGTGGAGTGACTGTGCGGTCTCAGAAGCTAACACTTAACTGCATCTAAAACGTTCTACACACCCACAGGTAGGAACTCACTTAAGGCATTATCCCATTTTGCAGATGAGAAAACTGACTCAGGGAATCTCAGTGATTTGCCCGAAGCCACCGCTGACTAACGGTGGGCCAGAACTCACACCCAGTAGGTGGCTTTCAGAGCCCAAGCCTGGACTCTCCCAACTCCGAGACACCCTCCCTGCAGAGCCCTCCATCTCAGAGAGGCAGAGCCCCCCAGCAATAGATAAGATGCTCATTTTTCCTCCAGTTTTGGGCTGTTCTCCCCATCTCTGCAAATATCTTTCTTTGTCTTTTATTTTACAAATGTGCTCGGTGATCTGGCTCCACGGTAAAGAATCCGCCTTCAATGCAGGAGACACGGGTGGGGAGGATCCCCTGGGGGAGGCATGGCAGCCCACTCCAGTGTTCTTGCTGGGAAATCCCATGGACAGAGGAGCCTGGCGGGCTACAGTCCCTGGGGCCACAAAGAGTCAGGGGACTAAACAAACAGCAACAACCCCATTCCTGGAGATTGTTTTACTCCGTCTCTTAGCTCACTAATACGCTCACTGATCTAACTTTATCTCCTCTTCACTCCCCTCAACCCAAACTGGAAGAGCGTAGCCTCAAGGGCAGGGACCAAACTCTTTAAGGCCGGCTGACGCTGGTTTCTGTCTTTCTAACACGCTCACCAGGTCGCCCGGATGGGAGTCCCCGTCTCAAGTCACCCCATGGGCGACTCGGGGTCCAGGCGATGAGACTGAGCAGAGGGAGACCCCCGCCCTCCCCTGGGGACAGGGAGAAAGATCAGGAACTGAAATCAGCTCCCAACCCAGGGTCCAGTGGGGGCGTCCTCCTGGAGTTTCTCTCCCCAGAACTGAGCACACGGCAGGCGTACAGACAGGGCTCAGTATGAGCCGCGGAACAGGAAACTACATCATCCAAACCAAGAGCTCGGCTTGTGCCAGGCATTGGGTGAGAGGACTTGAAACAGAACTTCCCAGGGCAACCGCTGCTCTGCCTGTCCTTTTCCTCTGGGGGCAGGAACACCCTGACTTTATTTTGTGTATTACACTCGCTCACTTTCAAAATAAGGATGGGGTTCTCCAGAAACACATAGGGATTCCCTTGCAGTTCAGATGGTAAAGCATCTGCCCTCAATGCAGAAGACCAGGGTTCGATCCCTGGATCAGGAAGATCCCCTGGAGAAGGAAATGGCGACCCATCTCAGTACTCTTGCCTAGAAAATTCCATGGATGGAGAAGCCTGGTGGGCTACAGTCCATCCATGGGGTCTCAAAGAGTCAGACTGAGTGATTTCACGTTCTTTCACTGTCTCCAGAAACACACACAAGATGTGGGAGAGGGACCACGAAGAGATGAACACATTTGTACAAGAGGCCAGAGGACCCACTATCTGTATTGCACCAAGTCAAAGAAAGCCCAGACCAGAGGCAGGAGGTAATGAGCTATCTGAGAGAAGATGTTCATTCACATCGGGTGCCCTTAGAACCGCCTCATCTTCTGAGCCCCTTCCCACTCCAGTCCCGTCTGCACAGACTTGCCAGTGGAAGGACCCTCGACTCTCCCCTTATCAAACCACGGGCTGTCCGGCTCCCAAGTGGTGCCCAGTGCCACCCTCATGGACCCCCCGCTTCCGGGTCCACCCCACCACACCAGGACCCTGGCCAGGGCTTCTAAAGGACGATCCCTGCCAACAACCTGTGCTCGGGCTCGGAAGCGCTCGAGACTTTCATGGTCTCCACCACGAATCAGAGCCCTGCTCGGTCCCCGAATCTCTCCCAGACAGAACAGATAAGAAGGAGGAGACACAGCAAGTCAGCCTCTGCCCAGCCCGTCTGCAGCTCTGCGGGGCTGAACGGGGCAGGAAGGAGAGATGACGGAGGGGCGTGTGGTCATCCAGGTAGGACCACGCTGCTGCGGGCGGGCAGGCGGGCATGCACGCACATCACACACACGGCTCGGGCATGCACACTGACACACAGCTCACATAGACGCAACACACACGGAACACCCCAGGTGCATACTCCACAGGCGGACGTGCACACACATCACACACAATCCGGGCACGCACACTGCACACAACTCACATAGACGCAGCACACACGGAACACCCCAGGTGCATACACTCCACAGGCGGACGTGCACACACATCACACACAATCCGGGCCCGCACACTGACACACAGCTCACATAGACGCTACACACACGGAACACCCCAGGTACATACACTCCACAGGAGGACGTGCACACACATCACACACAATCCGGGCCACAGCTCACATAGACGCAGCACACATGGAACACCCCAGGTGCATACTCCACAGGCGGACGTGCACATGCACACGCACACTGCACACACGTCTTGTTTTCTGCTAAAGGACACGCAGAAGCACAGCAGCTGGAAGGATTAAAGACTCAGCTGCTAAGAAAGGCTGACTTCCTGGTGATGCCACCAAGGCCCCACTGGGGCCAGAGAGAAACACAGTGAGGGGAGACGGCAGGAGGCCCGCGGGAGAGCTGTGAATAAACAGACTCCAGCCATCCTTGATGAAGAGCAGGCTGGAGACACCCCTCAGGAAAGGCGAAGATGGGGCGTCCACTGGGTCAGGGCAGCATCCGAGCGGCGCATGCGTCCTGCTCCCGGGCGGAGGTCCCTCAACTTCTGCAGCCACTTCTAAGAACATATCGAAACCTCATCACTTACAAAACACCAGACTAGAGATAAAGGTCAAGGTGATAAGGAAGAAGTTTCTGTCTCAGTCCGAACTGTGGTGCTCTCAAGGTCTGGGCACTCGGGCACACTCAGTAGCAAGGACTGCCAGCACACGCCCCGGGACGGCTCCAGACCCAGGAGCCGCATCAGCGTAAAACTCGGTCTTTGCTTCAAATGGGATCATCAGACTGCATTTCTGGAGATGTGGCCCATTAATCTGCATGTTTAGCACCCTCCCCTGGTGACTGATGCTTAGACAA